TTTCTCAAACACAAACTTGTTATTGGCCAAGATCGATCAAACCCAGATCACAAATTCCGATTACAAATTATAAAAAAAAGTCGATCTTTTTTTTGGTGAAAACCCTAATCGTAAAAAGGAAAGAGGAGACGAAAAGGGAAACTTACCCAAAGAAGCAAATTCAAACGCCAAGCTGATACTAACCATGAGGGAGATCTTAAAAAGGACCCTCTCGAGAAGAAAAAAAAACTTCGAAACGAAAAAAAAAGAACCAGAGGTAGAGATAGAGACAGAGAAGACGATTGCGGTTTACATGAGACTCTGCGAAAAAATCGGTCTTCTGATAGACCCGCTTGAGTATAGGGATCCCATTGGAGAAGAAGAAAGAAACGCATATCAACGACGTCGTTTTAGTATCACAATGCCGTTAAAATTACCTTTTTACCCTTATCCATCGTTCTATCTGCTCAAAGCTCGAAGCAGAAGAAATGAAATTCCGCAAAAACGCATCCCAACGACGTCGTTTTGCTATCACATGCCCGTTAAAACGACCTTTTTACCCTTATCCATTGTTTTATGTTCTCAAAGATTGAAACTTTTTATCATTTTTTTTCGNCCGACGATGATGATTGGACGGTGCTGGGTTTTTCCTCCGCCATGTTTCTCCGCCGTGAGAGCTAGATGTTTCGCCGGAGAAACTTCCGATACCGGGATTCTATTCCGCGAAAAGCTTATTTACCTTCAAGACCTTAACGTCGATCCACACAAAGCTCTACGAGTAAACCCATCACTCCGTTCTGCTCCAATCTCCACAGTCGTCTCCGTCGAGAATCTCCTCTCTTCCACCGGACTTTCGAGACCAGCGGTTGGTCGAATCCTCGATATGTTCCCTGATTTGTTAACTTCCGATCCAGAATCCGATATCTTACCAGTCCTACGCTTCTTATCAGACGAAATCTCGATTCCGGAGAAAGAGATACCGAAATCGATCTCTCGTTGTCCTCGATTGCTGATTTCTTCTGTAGATCTCCAGCTTCGTCCTGCGTTAACGTTCCTTAAAACCCTAGGATTCGTCGGACGAGACACGATTACGTCGCGTAACACGGTTTTGCTTGTGTCTAGTGTTGAACGAACCGTAATTCCTAAAATTGAGTATCTTGAAGAAGGATTAGGGTTTAGTAGAGAAGAAGTAGCGAAGATGGTAGTGAGATCTCCTGCATTGTTGACTTATAGTGTTGAGAACAATTTAGCTCCTAAAGTTGAGTTTTTTTTGGAGGAAATGTGTGGAGATGTTAGGGAAGTGAAACGTTTTCCTCAGTATTTTTCTTTTAGTTTGGAGAGGAAGATAAAGCCTAGGCATAGGTTGCTTAAGGAACATGGGATTTTGATGCCATTGTCGGAGATGTTGAAGGTTAGTGATGGTCAGTTTAACAATTGGCTTTTAGAACTTCGTCTCAGGTCTTTTGAAAGAAGATTATGATAATAACAATGTAAGCTTCTTCCTTCTTTAATGTTCATTGTTTCTTTAATGAGGTTTTGAGAGATGAATTGCAAAAAGTTTTGCACTTTGGACATGTCAAGACACTTCACATGAGCTTGTATATAGTAATATCTGTAGCTAGATCATGGAAATGTGTTTGTAAGAAGTCAATGTTATGAGGGAAAGTTTCTTTGAAGATTGTATGCTTTTAGGATGTTGGAATTTGATATGCGAACCGATTTTATGAGAACAATTGTTTCACATGAGCTGGTACATAGTAAAACACGCTTTTTTTATGTTCATTGTTTTTTTAAGAGATGAATTGCACTTTGGACATGTCAAGGCACTTCACATGAGCTTGTATATATGGTAATGTATTACTGAGGTTAGGGGAATGTTCAGCTAGATCATGGAAATGCGTTTGTAAGAACTCAATGTTATGAGGGAAAGTTTCTTTAAAGTTGTATGCTTTTAGGATGTTCAAATTTTATATGCGAACCGAGTTTATGAGAAAAAGTTACTTCATATGAACTCGTATATAGACAAAGATTAGGTTGGGGGAATGTTAAGCTAGATCATTGAAATATGTTTGTAAGAAGTCAATGTTCTGAGGGAAAGTTTCTTTGAAGTTGTATGCTTTTAGGATGTTCAAATTTGATATGCAAACCGAGTTTATGAGAACAAGTTTGTTTCACACGAGCTGGTATATAGTAAACAAGATTAGGTTGGGGGTATGTTCTGTTAGGTCATGTTGAGGTATGAATTAAGAACTCAAAATATGGAGAATTGATTTGAAAGTGTCATGTTTATGAGAAGAGTTATTTCAAATGAGTTTTTACATAGTTTTGTTCCGAAGATTCAGTTGAAGAAATGTCTTGTTGGATCATGGTAATGTGTAATCAATAACTCGAACGAGGAAAGTTGATTCAGAGGTGTTTGCTTTCAAGATGTCTGAGTTTAATATCCAACGAATATGTTACAAAGTTACATTATAAGGAGCTTTATTGATTGCAAAATCGAATGATTTGCAACATGTAGACTTGGTTTGAGTAAAATGATCAATGAATCAGAACTATATTGAGTTTTATTCATGAATTTGGGGCTGAATGACCTTATGTTGATACTAGCTAGTTTCATAATCCATACAAAATATGTTCCATAGGTTTGATGCTTCCTCATTAGTTGTATAAAACTTAGAAGAAAAAAAAAATACTCTTTGCTATTGTTTATTCAACTTCAACCATCTTCATGACATCTCATCTTCACATTCAAGAGGCATCTCATATCTACATTGAGGACACGTGGCGTGAATCCCTAACCATTTCTTTACACACTCGAAGTGATACTTGTGCTTACATGGCAATTCCGTAACCACGTCACTTTTCCACCATTCTTCCAAACATATCACACACGTTCCTTTCTCCTCGATCGTTACACGTGGCATCATCTCGGCAA